GGTGGATGGAGTGACCCACTGTGCTCTTGAAAGGTGTTTATTGCACCTGTGAGTCTCTGCCACAGTCCCTCCTAACCCCACTTCCCAAAAACCTGTGTGTTCAGGGAGTGTGTTCAGTGGGGGTTCTGGTTTTCTGATTGATGGACCCTTCATTTCAGCCCAGCTGACAGCTAACATGGATCAGCAAGCTGTCAAAGCAGCCACACATCCTCAGCTCAGGGCTTAACAGGCTGTCTTATTTATTTATTCATTTTTCTGTTTATTCCCTTCACTCCAGTAGCTGATGAACTTGTCTTAAGATTCCATGGCCACTCTGTAAAATCCAGGAGATGAAAGGCATAAATAGCCAGAGAAGTCAGATTTCCATTTTAATGATAACTGGAAATGTAAACCTTGTCCAAAAGTCATCTACATGAAACGTGGCAAGACAAGTAAAATCTCTCTCAAAACCAGCTCAGTTCCAGTTGTCAGGGACAAGATCCATTATAGCAGTGCCTGCATGGAGTGTCTGGAATTGTCTTTCACTAATGACTGGAAGTGCTGAACTTCCTGCTGAGAATGACATCCACTTACCTTTACCCAGTGCTCCTGTCTCCTGTTTCTGTCGTGCTTTTAATGGACTTTTACTGACTAAACACAAGCCTGCCACCAGGCCAATCCATACATATTGAGTTACCACTACCTGAAAGGCTTTGTGTTCTTCAACAGGGTCAATAAAAAAAGAAAAATACAAAAATACCACTCATCAAACACTTCCCTTAACATACCCCATTCGGAAATGCAACATCATCTGCAGTTAGAAATGAAATTAAGGTCTAGGTTTTACCTCATAAACTGATATAGAGCATTGTACCTGAGCTGTGTTTTAAAGCTGTTCCAGGAGGTAATTTTATGCAGTTAATCACAGAGCCACAGGATGGCTGAGATCTGATCCATCCCACCTGCAGCCAGTTGCCCAGGAGCATGTTTTAAAAAAAATTTAAGTATCTTCAAAAAGGGAGACTTATCAACCTCCTGGGCAACCTGTTCCAGTTGTTCCAGCAAAAATATGTCACTGGATTCTAAGGAGCAGACAAATCACAAATCTGTTGGAATGACAAATATTGGATGTTGCTGCTCCATTTTCTGTTTAGACACTCACTGAGGGCTCTTGAGAAGAGTCTCTGGCAGTGTTGTTAATAAAGTGTAATAAATCAGGGTGCAATTCATTTTACATGAGTTTAGATGACTAAAAGACATATTTCTGTTTGGGTTAAAGGTCCTTGAGCTGATTTGTGAAAAACTGCTCTCATCCCAGGCAAGTTTTCCCAGAATTAATCTGGTAATACTGCTGCTGAGTTGCAGGGATGCTGAAGAGAGTTATGGGAAAACTGGAAACAAAGTTTGGATGTCTCCCCGCTTTATCCAACACCAGAGTGTGGGGAGTCCTTCAAAATGAATAAATAAGAGTCTGTGAGTTTCTCTTATGTCCTTCCATGTCAGATGAAAATAATTTTCCATTATTTTTGATGTATGGGCTCAAATCTGGGTTGATCAGCTTCTTTTTATTGAAACAATGAATATGGTTCAGTTTCTTAAAAGTTCTGTTTGCCCTGAAAACAAAGAGTTGTGATTATCACAGTCTGTTTTTATAATACAAAAATACAGTGGTTTTTAAATACAAATGCAACACTGATTTTCTTCTGTATTCAAGGAACTTTTGCTCTCCACCTTGAATTTCTCACCTGCTCTTAAATGGTTCTGCTCGACTAAGAGTAAAGCTCAGGTTCTGTATAGCGTGGGTGTGTGGGCATGTGCATATAAATACATAAAAGTGACACATTCTTGTAGGTGTTGGATTGTTTATCTGGATATATTCTGTGAAGATCTACAAAATAATAAACTGAGCTGGACTTTCTCAAGATTTGGAGTCAGGGAGAATTGGGTTTCCCACTTGTATTCCTACTGAGGCTTTGCTGTAGCCATGCTCAGATTTTTTTACCTACCTTTTTGTGATGTGGAATGAAGTTCTTCCGTTTTTTTACATCACCTTGGAGTCCATGAGAGCTGTGAATGTTGGTGCTGCTGCTGGTGCTGTTGTGTGTCTGGGCTCTGCCTGCTGTCCTTGGCTTTCCTGGTGGGATATGACTCTGATCAGCACCCCTGAGTCAGCCCTTAAGGGAAATAGGAAAAGGCATTTGCAGCCTGGAGGGGTTGAAATCCATTCTGTGGAAGCTGGAAACCGTGAGCAATCCTGGATATTCCTTTGTGTTCAGACAGTTCCCTTGCATCACCCTGCCTGTCCCCTGGACTGATGATTAAGCAGAAGAAACCCAAGAGCCACAAATCTACAACAGGAAATCAACATTTTCAAAGTGGAATGAGAGACCATAGACTGAGGCCCAGAGGTGAATATTGGATGCATAAAGGCTCAGTGCTGCCTGTGCCATCCTGAGTCATCTACTGGTCTGTTATTGATTTACATGAACATTAAATCTCCTTGTCGTTGTGTTATACCAGTGCAAGTGCACACAGAGCATGAGTAACCACATGTAACCACCAAATCTCTATTTGGTGTGTTCCTTCTTGAGAAAAAAGTCAGAAGGAAGGGGAAATTATAAGAAGAGAAAGCACTCTGAGTTCTCAGTATGTCATTTGTCTAGGAAAATGAAATTTTATATGATTGTTTTTCAACTAGGAAAAAAGTAGTGGTAATAGCTATATATTTTTTTCTTAGTAGCTCTTGTTGTCCTAGAAAGATCATGTAGTATTCTTTTCTTCTTGGGTGTTCATCTTTTGTTTCTACAGGGGTGTTCTCCATTATGATTCTTCTTCCAGTTTGTTTTTTGGTTGTTTGGTTGGTTTTTGTTTTTTGTTCTTTGTTTACTTGGGGTTTTTTTGTGACACTCGTTAAGAAAAACTGAACTTAGTCCAGTGCCTTTCTGCACACAGTGCATGAACAAGAGCTGCTTCCTCCAGCTGCTTCCAGTGAGGCTCTTGCCTCACCCACTACATGAGATGTTTCTCCTTTAAAGCACGGGCTAAAAGAGCTGTGTTATGCCATTAAAAAGAGAGAGAGAGAGAGAAAGAGAGAAAGAAAGAGAGAAAGAAAGAGAGAAAGAAAGAAAGAAAGAAAGAAAGAAAGAAAGAAAGAAAGAAAGAAAGAAAGA